AAAAAAAAAAAAAAAAAAAAAAACCCAAAAAACCCACATTATTTATTTGGTACAGGGCCTTGATACGCAACTTGGACTCAGTGATCCTGTCTCAACTTCCCCAGTGCCACCACACCAGGTTTCAGTGGCTGGCACAGTGCGCCTGGCATGCAGTATTGGGGATCAAACTTGGGTCCTTGTGCTTGCTAGGCAGGCTCCCAGACCACTGAGCTAACTCCCCAGCCCCTACCTATATCTTGTACTCTGGGGAATTAAAGATAACTATACAATTTATTCATCATTGTTATCCTTCTCTTGTTTTGAAATTTTTTTTTATCTCCTTAAAATTGAAAAAAAAAAAAAAAGTCCTTTGTGGAGAAAAGCAGTGATCAATATGCTGAGTTTTAAGTCTTAGAGAATTAGAGAGGAAAGCTAGAATTACTGGAAAAGGCCTAGGCGGTCTAGAAAAAGAGTGTTGGTTTGGTTGAGAAATAAATGAAGGGATGGGGAAATGACCAAGAACTCGATAAGGTAAAGCTCATTGCTGCTAATTTTGTGAGGACGGGGACATGGCCGTTGTTTCTACAGCATTCCCCCAGTGCGTGGCACATTATATAAGCACTTGATAGTTGTTGGAGGAATGGCTATAAAGTGAGTTTGTAACTCCATTTTCAGATATAGAATAGTAAAGAGAACTCCCATTCAGACTGAGATTCTAGGTTCAGTAAGAACAGCCATCCATGCCTTTTTAATCCTCAGTGATCTTTCTTTGATGAAAGTTTGGGCCATAAAGAGATACCCTGTTTTCTGTGGGTCTCATAGGTAGTAATTGCCAAGACCTTGAGGACTCCCTGAGTGCCAGGCAGTTCTAGACTGGCGATGCATGCTGGCACATCCGATTCTCACCTCACCCATGTAAGTTTTTCTTTTCTCTTGCTTCCTTTCCTTTTCCCCTCCTTTCTGGTTTCCCTTCTCATTTAAACATTTTTTTTGCTTGTTTTTACAATATTTATTACACATATTGATCCTCATTTACACTTTCAGTTTCTCATACCAGGGAACCATGTGGTGTTTGCACAACCATGTGAGTTATGTACAAGTATTATGCCCATTTGACACCAGGGAAACTGGCACTTTCTAGAGAGATTGAAGGACTTAACCAAAGTCACATTGTAAATGGCAGGGTATGGTTATGAACCCAGGAAATCTGACCCTGGAGCGGTGATGGGGAACCTTTTAGAGACTGGACCCTAACTGCAACCCAAAACCCACCCGTGTATCAGAAAGGGCTAACACTGCAGTGAACCCTGCTACTGACCAGCCGTAGGAAGCTCGGGTCACTAGGGGCTCATGAGCCTCATGCAGCTCCGGCTGCCACCTGAGATGGCTGCTCCTCGCAGGCACATGCACAGATGGTCCCTGTTTGCTCTTCTTGCTAGCTGGGGTGATGCCTGAGTGATGTGGCTCCCGTGGACATGACCTGTGTTCCATAGCTTCGCCACCACTGCCCTCATTCCCTGCATTATACTATTTGTTATACTTTTTGATTTTAAAGCCTTGATTGATACATGGAATTAAATCAAAATCATATCATGTTAAAAGAAATGGTAGGGCTGGGGAGATAGCCTGGCAGTCTAAGCACTTGGCTGGCAAGCACAAGGACCCGAGTTTGATTCCCAGTACCGTATGCCATGCTAACCACCAAAACTGGGTGTGGTGGCTCACACCAGTAATCCCAGTGCTGGGGAGTTTGGGGCAGGAGGATCACTATGAGACCTTGTATCTAAAGAACAAAGAAAGCAAGAAAAGAAAAAAAAGAAAGACGGCATCACAGAAATTATTCAATCTTAACTCTTTTTACAGCAGTAAAAGTTCCTGATCCTAGATAAACTGTACAGTTGCAACTCTGATCCTCAGGATCAGAAAGCCTGATCCCCAGGCTTCTGCATTAAGTGTTTATCAGCAGCATAAGAAAGGTTCTTGAAGTCAACAGAGATCCTAGATAGGGGTTTTTCTAGCCCTTGGGACTTGAACCATAAGTTTGGCATTGTTATAATTCCTCCAGGGAGCAAGGGGCCTGAGACCAGCATTAGTCATGTGTACTTCGTTTTCTGCTGAATGTCTTAACTTTCCTGATGACCAGCAGTTTCTTATCCAGTTCCCAATGGAAGGTATCAGCTGAGGAAGTACCGAAGGTAGCTAAACCACCGAGTTTGGTCTGGGAGTCAGGCACAGAGCAGTGCTTTCTGAGATAGGGTCCCAGGAGATGAGGTACATATTTGGAAAGGAGGGCCAGTGGTTGTGATCCCCAAATTTGAATTTGTATATACCCATAATAGATGCTTTGGGAACCCCTCAATTCATGTGTGTTGAGAATACTGATGCCCCATTCCAGGAGGACTTTAGATACCACCCTAAATAATTATTTCTGTGAAACTTGGGATGGTCATTCCTGAAATACCTACTCTGTGTGGATTTTGGTGGATATATTGTTAAAAGAACTGAGGGACCTTTTTTTTTTTGTCTCTTGGATTTCTTAAGCACAGACATATATAAAAATGTATACTGTTAAAAAAAAAAGTTGTTTTGCTCCCTCCTGAATCTAAGCCTTAAAGTTGTCTTTAAGTAATATTCTGGTGCTGACCAACATGCTAGGCATTGATAACCTTAATATAATATTTCCTTGCAAAGAGTGAATTCAGTGCACTGTAGAGTGGAGGGTATGTATAGCCCATAATGTCATTATCAGTGACAAGATATGAGGTCTGCAGGACATTATGTGGTGCTATCTTTGATGGCTCAAAAACCCAAACAAATAATAGCAATTAATTGTTAGTGAACAAGTTTAAATGAGAGTGAAGATTCTCCCTCGAAGTCCACCTCGGGCAGGTGTCAGGGTGAGAACTACCATCTCCGCCTGTTGTTTTTCTCCCTAACTGCGCTGCTGAGTGTATTCCCAAGAGGGTTGTTAGTGTGCCTGGTTGTCTTCGCTATTCATTATTGCCATGACTCAGAGTGTATTTCAGTTACATTTGCCAGCGTGACAGTAATGATACTTATTTTTTAAATGTGTATTTCATATAGCTGTTTCTATTCAGCTGAATTACTTTCAGAAGGCAAATATTGTAAACCGGAAAAGTGATCCTGTTATCATCTTTCTTTGAGATAATTAGCACCATTTGTATGGGAGAGGAAAATTGTCTTGGGACTCTGAAGTCTAAGAAGGTGAAAGCTGGATTATTGCATTTTGTAGTTAGCAGTAAAGCATGTAGCTGGTTGTGGTATGCCTAGGGAGGTTGATTGGAAGTCTTTGTGGGGAGTACAGCAGTCTCTCCTTATTTCTCTGAAGTATGTTTTAGGGTAGTTCTCAAAGTAGAGATAGAAGACGGATAAGGGCCCTCAAGATAGCTCAGTGGAGGGGCCAGGGAGGTGGCTCGTCTGGCAAAAACAAGGTCATGAGTTCAATTCCCGATACCACACACACAGCAGACCAAACGCCTACTTAGGCAAATACAGGGACAGGGGTTCAATCCCCGGCACCATATGCTCTGCTGGCCCTGCCCCCAGGGAACACTGAGCTAGCCATTGAGACCAAGTGTGGTGGGGCATGTCTGTAATCCCAGTGCTGGGGAGGCTGAAAACAGGAGGATCACTATGAGTCCGAGCTGTGTAGTGAGACCTTGTACCAAATACCTAAAAAAAAAGACAGGAATAGTAAAGTTTTAGACTGAAGCCATTTGGCTTGATCCATATTCTTTGTCTCATTCTGACACTGCTGTAAGAAAACGTTGCAGGGGCCAGGGAGATGGCTCAGTGGAATAAGCGCTTCCCTGGCAAGCGCAGGGGCGTGAGTTCAATCCCCAGTTCCGCCAAAAAAAAAAGAAAAAAGAAAAAGTTGCAGAAAAATTAAACAAGTTTTTTTTGTTTTTTTTTTCCAGCTGCAGCTGTGATCCTTGGCTGTTGGCATTGAAGGGACCTGATGTTTTACGTTATTGGTATGTTATAGAAAAAGCTCTGTTATTTTTTTGTTATGGTTTGTCTTGTTCTGTTTTTGCTTCTTTGCCTATCCTTCCCCCTTGAAAATAAGGCAAGAAATTTTCCACTTGTGCCAGAGTGTACCTTCACACAGTTGGCAGAGGAATTCCTTCATTTGGGAAATATTTACTGAGTAATCATGATCGGTGCCAGACACTGTTTACAGCGGAATCAAGGTTGGAAAGGCAAAAATTTGCCTTTAAGGAGATCGTAACACAAAGGAGAAGATGGTCAGTTCTGAGAGGTGAAGATAAATCCAAGAGTTTTGGGGAACTCTAACTCCAGTGGGACTTGAAGAAGGCCAAGTGGACAAGGGAGGGAATAAATGCATAAATGCTCTTCTTTTTACTGCTTCTGTGAGTCCCTAGCGCATGCAGGAGGGTGGGTTGGGGGCGTTGCAGGAAGTTCATGGGATAGAACAGGGTTGGCTGACTTTTTCTTTTTTTTCTTTTTTGACTTTTTCTATAAAAAGCTAGAATAAATATTTGAGTTTTGAAATCATACATTCTCCTAATAATTACCTGGTTCTGCCTGTGTGATGTAGAAGCAGGTGAAGACAATTTGTACCTAAAGGGTGTGGTTATGTTGCAGTAGAACTTGATTTTCAGAAACAGGAAGTGGGATAAGGTTTGGCCTGAAGGCTGTAGTTGCTGAGCCCTGGCCTAGACGGTCCCTCCTCTCATGCATAGATGTAGTGACCCAGTATGATGTTACTGGCAATCTTGAAATCTCACCCTGACTCCCTTCAAGTTTGGCAAGATGGCTCACCTGTTCCACACTGACAAACTGTAATGGTGACTGGCAGGTGGTTTGTATGTTCTCTCTTTCACATAGGTGGAATCACAGTGTCTGTGGTTGCGTTCTTCTTCACAATTAAGTTTTTCTTTGAGCTTGCCGCACGCGTAGTCAGCTTCCTTCAGAATGAGGACCGTGAGCGCCGAGGGGACCGGACTATTTATGACTACATGCGGGGAAATTACTTGGATCCCCGGTCCTGCAAAGTCTCGTGGGATTGGAAGGACCCCTATGAGGTGGGCCACAGCATGGCCTTCCGAGTGCATGTAAGGGAATGTTTCTGTCTCCATACCCTTTGGGGGTTCTGAGTCACTTGCTTTACAGAGCTGTTTAGTCTTGGTGTTGCTGGGTGGAATGTTAACATTTCCCTTGTTTTTCAGCCCCTCCCAGGAGCTTGGGAATTGTTAATATCTAAAAAGCCATGAATTTCTCTATCTGTTTGGTTTACTAGGTACTTAGCATTAGAGAAGTAAAAAGCCTAATGTTAACCTTTCAAAGTCAAGAAAATGCTAGAAAAGAGGAGTTGGCCAGCGATGTAGCCTGAGGGCCAAATTGGGCCTTCCTTTTGTTTCTTAAATACATTCTTATAGCAAGGAAGCCACACCTGTGCATCAGATGTTGGCCACGGCTGCTTTCTCACTTTGAGGTTCAGGACACTTGAGTAGCTCTCTGTGGTCACATAGCCAAGCATACTGTCTGGCACTGTACAGAGAAACTTGATGGTCGCTGCAGTGACTTCTTCTTTATGTCACATGAAGCTTGGCTTGAGAGCCTGAATCCCGTTACCTTCAGCTGGCGCTTTGGCTCACCCAGGGCCATTCCTGGGATAACAGAAAGAGATGGGAACACACAAGAGCAGAACTTGACAAGTTGGAATCGGTGTGGCCTACCCTGTCCTCTGCATGGGGCAAGAATTAGTTCATAACTCAGTGGCTTGCTTTGCTGTGCCAAGGGAATGTGTCTGTTTCTGTGAGCGAGATGGTAAGAGCCACGTAGGCACTGAGCTCTGTGGTGCGACCTCAGCCACTGGTAGCTCCTCTCTCCACACTCTGATGTGCAAGTTTTCTCCTCTGCTTGTTCATGGTTGCCTCTCCTCTCTCCCTGCAGTTATTCTATAAGAACGGGCAACCTTTCCCTGCACACCGGCCTGTGGGACTGAGAGTTCACATCTCCCATGTTGAGCTAGCAGTGGAAATTCCTGTGACCCAGGAGGTCCTGCAGGGGCCCAACTCCAATGTGGTGAAGGTGGCCTTCACTGTGCGCAGGGCTGGGCGCTATGAGATCACAGTGAAGCTGGGGGGACTGAACGTGGCCTACAGTCCCTACTACAAGATTTTTCAGCCTGGTAAGTTCTTTCTTTTTCCCTTTCCGTCTACCCCTGCCTTCTGCTTCCCCACCACCCATCCTTTATTCTTCCCCCGCCCCATTTCTTCTTTCCTTTGGCATTCCTTTCTCTTTTTGGTAGAATTTGGTGAGATTGAACCAAGGCCTCATGGATACTAAGCATGTGCTATACCCCTCACCAATACCCCAAACTCCCCTTTGAGATTTAATTCGTGTGCTTAAAATCCATCCATTTAAAACATACAGTTTAGGGCTAGGGAGATAGCTCAGCGGCATAAGTGCCCAAGGCCTGAGTTCAGTCCCTGGTAACAAACAAACAAACCATACGATTTAATGGTTTTTAACAGGCAGGGGCCAGGGAGATGGCTTTGTAGAATAAGCGCTTGCCTGGCAAGCACAAGGGCCTGAGTTCAATCCCTGGTTCCACCAAAAAATAAATAAATAAATAAAATAAAAAATAAAACAGGCAGCTGTCGGCATAGTCAATTTTATTTATTAATTTTTTAAAAATTTGATACAAGGTCTCACTGCTCAATTCAGACTCAGAGATCCTCCTATCTCAGTTTCCCCAGCCCTGAGATTAGAGGCGTGTGCCACATGTGGGGTTCTGGGGCTGGCATGGCATGCGGTACCAGGGATCAAACTCGGTCTGGTCCTTGCACTTGCTAGGCAGGCGCTTATACTGCTGAGCTATCTCCTGAGCCAGCATAGTCAATTTTAGAACATTTTCATAACCCCACAAAGAAAACCCAAAATTATTCGGAATTATTTTGTAACTAAACCCCTAACCCTAGATAATAATCTGCTGCCTTCCCTGTACACTTTGTATTAATATAATCATAAATTCTATGGTCAGCTAGTTTTACATAACACAATACTTTCAAAGTTTATTCATGCTGTAACATGAATTCGTGCTTCATCTCCTTTTGTTCCCCTGTGGTATTTCAATTTACACGAAAGCTACATTGTATTCATCCATTCATAAGTCGATGGACATTTGGATTATTTACACTTTTTTTTTTTTAAGCATATTTATTTATTTATTCACTTCTTTGTTTTTTAAGAGCACTTTATGGGTGACTTACTGGGGAATCCAGCCAACGGCCTCCTGTGTGCTTCTTTCCCCTCCCTGGCTACCAAAAGTAGTGGTACATGAGCATTTGCCTGCAAGTGTTTATGTGGATATATGTTTTTATTTTTCTAGAAGTAGAATTGCTGTCCTTAGTCCTAGGGCTAAGGGTATTAAAGTAGACAAGAGATAACCTTTTCTGGTTTTTGAAACCTTTTAAGGTAAAAATTATTCTGACCCAAATTCTATCTTGCCACCAGTATGTTTTCCTTCTCATGAAGAGTGTCTTCCCATATGTCTGTTATCCAAACAGACATATGGGAAGATCTTTATCCCTAATCTTTCCCTCTTCCATGTTTTTATGCCAGCTAGCACACACTCATTGACACTGAGGTCCCAAGTGTAGTCTGTAGCTCTTGGTTCTGTGACATGTAGGATTCATGTGTTGGGGTCCTGTGTGCCCTCTGTGCCTTGCGTGGCTTGCTTTTTTTTTTCTTTTCTGCTTGGACTCACTTGCCAGGCAGGTGCTGTGCTACTGAGCTATATCCAGTCTTTTGCATGGCTTCCTTTTGAGGGTGTCCTTAGATACAGGCTGTTTTGGTATTTACACAGTAATCCTTGGCTAACTTTGGGAATCAGATCTTAATGACTGGAGCTATAGAAAGATTGATGTATCTCTTCTTTCTTGAGACAGGGTCTCACTATATAGTTGGCAAGCTTTGAACTCACTACATATCCTAACTGGCCTTGAACTTGAGAGATTATCCTGCCCTGGCCCCCTGAGCACTGGGATTACAAAGGTGCACCATCGTGCCTCACTAGATTGGTATATTTTTGCCTGCTTGATCCTCAGTTTTCCTTGTGTTATAGCAGAAGGCAACTCTGGACAAAGTAACTTCTGAGTCCTCTCTCTCTGGCTTGAGTGCCCCTCTCAGAAGCTTCTTACACATGAAATACACCTTACCTCCTTACCACCAGCATAGAGCAGTTTATACCCTTAGATTATGTGCTGGTCCTTTTAAAAATTCAGCTCTTTGCCTGCCATGGTGGCACATGTTTGTAATCTCAGCACTCAGGAGGCTGAGGCAGGATCGCCATGAGTTCAAAGCCAGACTGAACTACATACCATAGTGAGATTCTGTCTCAAAAAAAAAAAAAAAAAAAAAAAAATCTTTATATTTTGAGATAATTATAGATTCACATGCAAGTATAAGAAATTAGCCAGAGAGATGGCTCAGCAGAATAAGTGCTTCCTTGGCAAGCCCAAGAGCCTGAGTTCAATTCCTGGTTCCGCCAAAATAAATAAATAAATAAATCAGAAAAAAAGGGTCCTGAGTTCAATCCCTGGTACCGCTAAGAGAAAAAAAAAAAAGGTCTGTTTGGGCCGGGGAGATAGCTCAGTAGAATAAGTGCCTGCTTAGGTAAGTTCAGGGACCAGGATTCAATCCCCAGTACCAAAAAAATAAAAAAAGCCAGGGAGATGGCTCAGTGGAGTAAGTGCTTTCCTGGCAAGTGCAAGGACCTGAGTTCAATCCCTGGTTCTGCCAAATAAACAAATAAACAAATAAACAAAAACTACAAATTTAGGGTCCAAGAGATGGCTCAGTGGAATAAGTGCTTCCCTGGCAAGCACAAGGGCCTGAGTTCAATCCCTGGTTCTGCCAAATAAACAAATAAACAAAAACTACAAATTTAGGGTCCAAGAGATGGCTCAGTGGAATAAGTGCTTCCCTGGCAAGCACAAGGGCCTGAGTTCAATCCCTGGTTCTGCCAAATAAACAAATAAACAAAAACTACAAATTTAGGGTCCAAGAGATGGCTCAGTGGAATAAGTGCTTCCCTGGCAAGCACAAGGGCCTGAGTTCAATCCCTGGTTCTGCCAAAAAAAAAAAAAAAAAAAAAACCAACTATATATGTGCCAAAGATACAGCTCAGTGGCAGAAGCAACTGCCTGGTAAACACAAGATCCTGAGCTCAATCCCTAGTACTGCAAAAAAAAAAAAAAAAAAAAAGCAATTATGAACTCCAGCAAAACCATATGAGTGTAGTGATGTGGTGGAGTAGCACAGCCAGGCTGGATGCCTGCAGCCAAGACACAGAAATTCTCCATTGTGCCTTTTGGTGCTTGCTTCCTACCTCCTCCACTGGAGCTTTCTTAGCCCTTGTCAGCCCGTTAATCTGGTGGTTTGAATAATGTTATGTAAGTAGAATGATACAGTCTGTAACATATCAGGGATTGGCATTTTTTCACTTATGCACCATTGTCTGGACATTCATCCATGTTGAAAATACGTACCTGTTCTTCCTTTTTTTTGGCAGAACTGGGGATTGAACTCAGGCCCTTGTGCTTGCCAGGCAAGTGCTTATTCTACTGAGCTATCTCCCTGACCCTCTGTTCTTCCTTTATATTGGTAATATTTTGTGTATGAAGTCTTTTTATTGTTCATTCATTGAAGGACATCTAGTTTGTTTCCTGTTTGGGCCTATAAGGGATAAAGCTGCTAATAAGCATACATGAAAAGATAATTATGTGAACATATTTCCACTTAACTGGCATAAATGCTTGTGTCTTATGGTATTTTCATCTTTAGCTTTTTTTTTTTCTGTATTTTTTTTGACATCAGTTATTTTTATTTTAAAGAGAAAAAAAATAAAAACAATGGTACAAAATCACAAAACAAGATTTTAGGAGAGTAACAATGGTTAGTACATTGTGTATTGTTACTGCCAAAATAGTTTGGCATTAAACTACTTTATTTAAAGATAGTATTAAAGATATAAGCAAGAAATAATAAATAAACAACATAGGTACAAACCTCTGTTTTTTTGTTTTTGTTTTTGTTTTTGTTTTTTTTAAAGTCAACAGAAAATGGAAATATACTTTTTAAAGTTTCTGATACTAGGAGAAGATATCATACAATGTCTTTTAAATAAATTGTAAGTCAAAGATACAGTATAAATCTTAGAACAAAAATTAATATTAAGCAATATTCAGAAAATTAAATGTTTCT